TAATAGTCCTCCTGTAAAGAATTGTTTATTTTTTAAACTTTTGTCATTTATTATGAATTAATATTATAATTTTTAATAATTATGAATTATTACAATTTTTATTGATTACGATTTTTACTCACTCAAATTTTGACATTTTACAGTACTAGCGTCAAATGGAACAAGAAGATAATCACAAGCTTCCCGCAATTCCTGAACAGCAACTGTCGGTGGACATCGAATTACGCCACCTTTATAATAATCAAGAATAGCCCTAAATACCATGGCAGATATACCATCTGCAACTTCATATTCACCACGTTCATTTGGTTGAGCATATTCAGCACCAGAACTAAACATTCTACCTAACATTGTATTTGGATGCGCGGTGAATAACGCAGGATCAGTAATAAATCTAAAACCAACATTTTTTTTTAATATAATGTAATTATATCAATAGCTAAAAGTATATTAGATAATATTTACCTAGTATTATCGACAATAAGAGTAATGCGTTCATCGCTAGCTTGTGGATTATTTATACCAGTAACAGATCCTGATGATGGTAAATTTTCTCTATTTTGATTTTGCTGATTTTTTCCAACACCAACTCCAGAGCAAAGTCTGAAGAAAAATATGTTCTAAGTGACTACTGTAGATCACTTAATATTAATACCTACATAAAACAAAGGAATTATAACTAATAAACATATAAAGCAATGCAAAGTGTAAAATAAGTGTGGTAAGTAACACCTACCTGTTACATAATGATGCTTGGACTCTTGTATCAATAATATATAAGAAATAAAAGTACAATCCACAAAAGCATACAATAATTAAATACATTATACTATTAAATATTAACTTAAAATTATTAAATGTTTTGAGAACAAGGTAATACTGTGTTTGCAATCTTTCATTCATTTGTGAATATTACCTGCTTTGTTGATTAACATTAGTGTTTTGTCTGCCAGAATTGAAGGAATGACAGTGCCTTTCATTGCTCCCATCCCTTTGTACCAAACAAGATTTTGGTTTGGAAGAGCCACCACAACTACATGCAAAACAACAACATTACCTTTCTAATGATTGCATTCGACAACAAGCATTGTGTACTATCTACTGATTCTAATATAACAAGTAATTTAAATAATGAACAAGTGTATATACATACAAATTTAATTATAATATAGGTTTCTAACTATTTCTTTCATATTTTTTATGTTTTATCCATTGTTCTTTTTAATAAAAAGTAAATAAATAAACAAATAAAATTAAATCAAATTTAAAAAAGAACTATTTAATAAAATTAAAAAGAGAAAAAATGTTATTGTATAATATAAATCAAAATGTATTAAAGAAAAAATGAATATAATAATTAACACAAAATAAATTTTGTCATTCTTTAATACATTGCTTTTTAATTGAGCTAATATCAAAATATAAAAAAGTAGATATTTCTATTTAAAATTTAATTTTATATTAAAAAATTAACTGACATGCATGACATACTGCATAACATCTCTTAATAACATGCTACATTTTAAACATATAATTGTTAAATTAGAAATTTTAAAGGTACTATAGATTATAGATGAAACTGTCATAATATTGCTCATCTAAAGTATTTGTTTTAATAAACTAAGAAATTAAGCTAGTAATATAAAATATCTAAAATATCTAGAAATATCTAAAATATATATATATTTTTTATTTTATAATAAACATTATACTCATTTATATGTTTTGTGGAAATGTAATACCTCATTCTGTTCTTATAAATACGATGTCGACCTCTGCCACCTGTTTCTTTATCTGTTTCTGTATCACTACTACTATCCTGAACATAGTT